TATCACATCCGCTCCTCCCGAAACTGCCTGGCGCCCGCGCCACAGGCGCCGGCGCCAAAGTACCCTAGATCACCAAATCCGCTGAAAACTTGTGCCCAGGGGTAGTTCGACCTCCTGAACACGAATATCACATCCGCTCGGCGCCAAAATGCCAGGTACTTTCAGGCCAAGTGGATGATATTCGTGTTCAGGAGGTCGAATTACCCCTAGAACCCAACTTTCAGCCAAATCTGCCCCCGTAGAAAAAAGTCGATCAAGATCCGGCCTGTTTTCGCAAAACTGGGGTAGTAATAGTTGAATAGTGCCTTCTACTTGAATGGAAAAGGCGAGGGTGAATGTAGAACACCATGATAAAACTTTCATCTTTGATGTAATATTTTAAAGGCAAGTGGCACGATAAATGGACGGAATCCAGCGCCCCGAGCAGGAATTACGTGGCGCCTTTCCCAAGGAAGGTACCCTTATAAGGCCCTATCAATCTGCAACATACCTATCCGGACACCCACCGTCACAAACGTCCACTTATGCTAATACTTGTATCGCTACGCGAAGTACAGTATGAAGCGAAAGGATTGATATGAAGCGGCTGTGCTGCTGCATGGATATATGAGTACATACATGCAGTCGTATCTACCGTAGCGGTTACTGGCACGATGCCAACGGGAAACTCGTCCGAAACTGCTTCTGTGTCATGTAGAACAGAGGTTTTCGCGGGCTATTGACCGTTTCACTTCGCTTTTTCGCCATTTCCCACTCTATAGCACCCCTGCTACCATTCTAGACCGAGTACCAAATTATCGTGCCTCATGCTTTGAGTCAGAAAAAGACGCCATTACGTATTGGCCATCCAAATACATTGAAGTTTACAAGTTCACAGGTCAGACGTTGCTAGTCGGGCAAGTTCTATGGCAAAGATAACCTCAGATATTGCTCCATGTATGCACAAGGTTAGAGAAATGAGGGGACGGAAAAAAGAATCGTAATTCGCCGCGTCGTCGCGCTCGGCACCGTCGAGCGATTAGCGCGGGGAATTCAAACTGTGCGTCAGCTTCTCAATTGGAGCAGCGCAACTCATGGAAAATGTCGCATATTTTCAATTTTTCCTTAGTTCCGCACATAGCTCACATGTTCCCCCATTTCCTACACCGTAGATTGTGTTAGAAATATGGAAGCATGAAGACCTGCTAGAGCATCAGTGACACCCTTTATCGTCCCTTTAATACTCGAATTCGAATCGCTAGGCGGGAGAACACGCTTTCGTCGCGCGACGTCGCCGGCCACGCTACCCGGGTATGTGACAAGAGGATCGTAATTCGCCGCGTTGGTGGGCGTCGCGTGCGACGTTGCGCTCGCAAATAACGATGGTTCCAGGTTGAGGATGGCACAAAAAGCAGATCAGAACCTCAAATGTGTACGATTACGGGGTCTACGTGAATTCCGGTGCTCCAATTGACAGGTTAACACGAGTTAAGAAACTGTCGCGCCCGTCGCCGCGCGCGGCGGAGCGGCAAATTACGATCCTCTTGCCCGTCTCCCACGCTACCCAGCGCGGCAAACTGTGATTCTCTAGTAATATACCCGAGAAATGAACGTAGAAGTTATCACGCAGATAAGCTATCAACTAGTTATCAGATCCTCATTTGCAGCGATGGTCAGAGAAGTTAGTCACTCACATTCTATTTGGTCTGCGGTCGTTCCACGTGTGAGTCCTTAGATTCGTAGGTTCCTATGCTTGTGATGAACATCGCTGAACATTTTAATCTTTCAGAAACCTCACTAAATGACGGCAAGTGTAAGCGTGAGTAAACTGTCAGCCTTAGTTATCGACAGTGGTTCGGGAATGTGCAAAGCGGGTTTCGCCGGAGACGATGCTCCCAGAGCTGTTTTTCCGTCAATCGTCGGCCGTCCACGTCACCAGGGAATCATGGTCGGGATGGGACAGAAGGATTCGTTTGTAGGAGCCGAAGCACAAATGAAAAGGGGTAAGTTCTGCTCTCAACTGAAAAGCATTGCTTTTCTGCATAATACGTAGAGCGCAAATGGAAGACGTAGGACTGTGTACAGTACGTAACGCTGGGAACTATCTGCCTAGGGGACTACCCTCTAGAAGGCTGAGCCAGCTGCGTTCATACTTTGCGTCAGCGTCAACCAGCGACTATCAGCTTCCACTAGCGTAGATCAGCGTTTCAGCAGCAGCGGGTGCTTTTGAACTTGAGCAAAACTGCTTGCGAAAACGCTGCTGTCCGCTTGTGGACTCTGGCGTTCGCTAAATCGATATCCATACCTTCCAGTCACTGGTGGCCGCTGACGCAAAGTATGACGCAGCCTTATCTTTGCTCCTCTATGCCATTTCATAGGCAACAAATCACTTGCCGGCGTGGTAGGGGCGTGGCGAGCGGCATCGCGTCCGACGGACGAGTTGTTCCTGCCTGGTCGTTTGAATTGAGGGTTAGAAGGATGGGAAATTTCGATATCGCTGGTCATGAACATCTCTACTCGAAGGCGCTCGATATGAGACTTTGCTGCTCCTTATGCACATCGATGACGAGACTATTGCCGCTACAGCGTACATCGCGACCGGTAAATATCGACTGTTTCCTCGTGCTGGCGGTAAATATGGGCAAAATTCATTCGGGGGCTCGGACTGTCCTCCAACGGAATGTTGGTCAAGGACGTTTCGAATTGGCGCAAATCGCTTGCTCCAGCGATGACCCACGGACAACGGGTAAACTCAACTCTGAAAACGCTCGCGCATTCGCACGAGCGTCGTGCAGAGCTAAGGGACCTGACTGAGCTCGCGACTGGACATCGCACCTCCCGCAGGGGTGAAGTCTCGGCCACGCCCACCACGCCTCCCCCCTTGGCTGCGTATCTGGCCCAGCTGCCATGTCCCGTTCGACTTACACTCGCTAGTCTCCAGCTCTGTATACCCCGCGATAATAGCAAGGATACTGTTTACACCCATACCGCACCACAACTCGTAGCACCCGAAGCCGCTTCTGACTGGAAGCAACTGAGATTGCGCGTCTCCTTGCAAGGTATCTGACCAGGTGTCATGTTCTCCTTTAAGGGCGGCTTATAGCGGACATGAAAATCGTAGGTAACGGGTTCAGCAAGTGCAGAACGGTCAAAGTAAGGCAAATATCCTATCTATGATAGATCCGGCGTGGGTATTGTCTGCTGGTGTGGTGTGTGTGTGTGTGTATGTGTTGTGTGTTTTGACTGGAACGCATAAACTTCCTTCAAAGAGGCGCGACAGAGCAGCTCTAACTGATAGTGATGTAGGGGGGTCGGGCAGGAACACTATTTAGTAGTGTGCAGGAACTTGATAAGCTATCTGATAAGCATACCAGCGAGGGGGTCTGTTAGAAGGGGAGGGTCCACACAAAATTCCATGGAACGTCGGCCAGAGTATTACCGACCGGACGTTGGATCAAGCAGCAACATAGGGGAGTAGGATGGAACTTATTATTGGTGGGTGTGGGCAAGAAGTGTATAACCCGCTGAATAAGATACCATGAGGAGCTTTGGAATGAGTGGGTTACCAAACTCATAACACCGACCGGAATAATGGCCGGGCGTTGGATCCAAGTAGAGAGATAGGGGGTACGATGGGAAACACCTTCGTGAGTGCAGAAACTGCGGGATAAGAGCTGATGAAGATATGCACAGGGCGGGATCAGGAAGGGAAAGAGGGTCACCAAGTTTATAGCAAAGCGGCAGAGGCAAACGAGCAGGAGAATTTGGATCCGAGAGTAGTAAGACTAACGGCAGGATGGGAAGCATTATTGGTGGGTGCGAAGGGCAGTGACAGACTGATAAGACACCATAATAGGACCTACAAAACGGAAGTCCACACAAGCATTATAGAATTGCGGGCGCAGCAGCGAGGATAAGGGTGTCGTTGCGCACGAAATAGGGGCAGGATGGGAACCTTACCGGTGAGTGGCAGGACCGTTATAGCGGACAGCAAATATGGACACAACACCCCTAAGCACTTTTCACGAACAACACGCAAGTCGTAGCAAACAGCTTAGACGTTTTTAGCGAACTATCGGTGGGCAGACTTTGGCTGGCACAGAGACATGTTATGATACTTGCTGCCTGACAAGGCTCAGAGTTAATATCGTCGCCCTCCCGCTTAACTGCTGCTTGCGAATTGGAGCTTCACGCGACTGTGGTCCACGGAAATCGATGAGCAAAAGGCTTGTGAGAGCCAGGCGACTCTTCCTAATCCTTGAGCTATATAGACCAAATTGATTCAACCGCTAAACTCTAAAGATTCTTCCAAAAGTAAAAGCTTAAAGATGTTTGTCAGTGAGGAGTGATAAGGGCCACCAGCAGACGGACTGAAAGCTGCTCAACGGAAACGCTAGGAAATAAGTAGCTTCCACCAAGACTTGGATAATGTTACCACCGAACACTTATCTTTCAAAACGACTAGTCGCCTATTTCCATCAAGATGGTGGGATGTTTTTAGAAACCGTGATAAGTTATGCACACAGTTGGCAGAATGTCATTAAAGGTACAGGTGAAATATGGTGGCAGGTGAAGGCCGTAGCTTATTGAGACAATGGAACGCAAAGCACATAGCTTTAGTGGTCAGCAACAGAAATCTATCTCAGCAATTTCAGGCAGCGCCCCGCCGGCCGGACGACGCAGTTAGTTGTGGCGTCAGCGTCAAACTGGTCAGTAATAAAGGAAAAAGTAGTGCTCGGATCGGCAGGAGTGCTGCATAAGCTAACCTTACCGAAATGCGCGCTTGGAGAGCTCCTGCTGATGGACTTAATAGCCAGTGAAGGCATCACAGAAGCCAAGAGGCACGACGCGCATCTAGACAAGTCTTCATTGATCACACTTCGCGTCACCATACGAATGGCTAGTCAGAGAGCATCCGCACGGCATATAGAGAATATTAGCAAACATAAACGTAATGGGACGCTACGGAATGGGGAGGAGTCACTACTCACGTCGTCACGAGCGTCTTACGTCCCTATCACGCACTTTCGAGTCCGAAGTGCCTTGAATGAGCTGGATTTTTTTGACTACGATGAAAAAATGTCATTTGGGAATGGTAAACAGAGCTAATTTCCGTTTCAGGCATCTTAACGCTCAGGTACCCAATTGAGCATGGAATCGTGACGAATTGGGATGATATGGAAAGAATATGGCATCATGTATTTGCAAATGAGTTACGAGTATCTCCAAGTCAGCATCCGGTGCTTCTTACAGAAGCGCCATTAAACCCGAAGGCAAATCGAGAAAAAATGACGCAAATTATGTTCGAAAGTTTTCGAACGCCTGCTTTCTACGTGGCGATCCAAGCAGTTCTGTCACTCTACGCCTCCGGGCGAACCACCGGTGTCGTTCTTGATTCAGGAGATGGAGTCACCCATACCGTGCCCACCTATGAGGTACAATCTCTGTTGTTTCCCATCGTTCGTCTGAATTACATCATCTTTATAGGGATACTCCCTCCCACACTCAGTATTACGACTTGATCTCGCAGGACGGGATTTAACCAACTACCTCACCAAAATTCTCACTGAACGTGGTTACTCCTTCACGACCACCGCTGAAAAGGAGATTTGTCGCGATATCAAGGCAAGCTCACGTATTTGTGCTTCTCGCCCCTTACAAGTACTCCCGACGTGATGCAATCTGGGCGAACCAGCAGTTGGGAGGACATGGCGGCACGATTAGGTCACGTCATGGCCGTTCATCTGCGCCATCTCACTGAGAAAGTGTCCCAAGCAGCTCTGAAGTCCTTCCAGGCATTTCTTGGAGCAAAGCAGTAGCGAACATAGAATCCACACTATCTCAACGAGAGGAGGCAGACCAGCAGAAATGAGGTGACCAAGTCGCGACACATACCCTACTCCCTCCATCTACCTCTGCCCAAAGTCCGTTTCGGCGCGATTCGGCTTGGCGGGGGTTCCGAATGGTACTCAGCTACGCTTGTAGAGGCTGCCTTTTTGGAAACCTGTATAGGCGCTGTTCGGCAACAAGGGAGGGGGCATTTTGCACTTTCGCTACTTCCCATCGACGTGTCGACCCATCTAGACAGCCTCTTCTCGAGTTGACAGGTTTTACCATGATGGCTTGACGAGCTTGCTCCAGCTTCACAAGAGTTCACAGGTTTCACCAGAGTGAGACTTGTAAACCGGAACTAGTGAAGGCAGTGAGAGGCAAAATGCTCCTCCCCCCCCCCGCCCCCGTCCCGTCGCCAACTGCGGCCACCTGTATATTCCCGTGACCAGCGGCGGCTATTTAGCACAATTCGCAGCCGTCACCATGAACTGCCCAGGTCTCATTCGGTAAACCTGTAAACATGAAATAACAAGAAGAACTAGTAAATGGTTCCCTTCCAAGTCGAACAGGGCCTCCGTTTGCTCTACTTTGACTCAGTTTGGGGCAGAATTATTTTGAGGAACCATGCCTTTTTCGAACAGCAGAATCAAATAGCTCTCCTTGAAGATAAGCGGTTCAAAACCAGCCTCGACCATCTACTTCGTAGGGTTTTCCAAGCTTGAAAACCGATTCAAATCATCCGAAATGCCTGTTTCTGAGAAGTGATCAATGCTGTCATTTCAGGAGAAACTCTGCTACGTTGCACTCAACTATGAGCAGGAATTGGCTGAATCGGTGAAGTCGACGTCTATTGAGAAAGACTATGAGCTCCCCGATGGTCAGGAGCTCCGAATTGGAACCGAGCGCTTCCGCACACCGGAAGTCCTGTTCCAGGTGTGTGCTAGGGCAGACTGTTTGATGTCTGAGCCAAGCTCGCAGAACGCTGTATCAAAAGAAGAGCAAGCTGTGTGCTGGGGCCCTCTAGCAAAAGGTAAAATAGGGTCATGTCATGTTATAGGGGTTCTAGAACTCACCTACGAGAAAGGTCCTTGCCATAGGCGTTAGGCGCATGGGTCCGTAATTACTGTGCATGCCACTTTCTCCCCGCAAAAGTGCACAGGAACTGAGCCATGGGGTAGTGGTATCTGAGTGCCGCTTCCATTTTCCGCCTGCGCGATCTCCAAGGTGCAACACCAGCATAGATACCGAGGTCCCGCAGCGAAACCTACACTCAGTGGTAGAGAACAATTACAAGTGAGAGGACGCAGACAAGTAGCGCGCTTGCTATAGTTAGGGGTGTGCCCGGCCGTACGCATGGCAGGGTATGCAGACAGCATTCTTGCATCATTCACATCCAGCCGCGTTCCCATGCACTTTTCAGTGAAGGAGGTGGCACGCTTCTGGAGCTGCGGGACCATTCACCTCGCACGCAATAGGGTCCCCGGATGGAGAATGTGCACTTTGTCTTCAGAGAGGTGCGAACTCTTAAAAAAATTTGGCGGTTCTCCGTTTTTTGCTCTCTACTTCCCTGCTAGATAGGAAATCCGTGTGTCCCACACTTGAATAGCATCACCCCCTTTCGAAGAAGTTCTTGGGAAATCGGTGAAACATTGGGAGCCTTGTGTGAAGAAGTGATAAGCGGGAGTTGCTAACGGTACCCCTCACTCCACTGGTCTGCTGTGGCCCGAGGACCCTCCATTAGAAAAGGTGAAGCTGTCGCCCATACTCCTTGCCGACATCCTTACAAAAAATTGAATTTTATAGATTCTATATGCTAAGGTGGTTCTATTTTCAACATAGCTTTGCTTTACGTTGTGTACGGAAATTCCAATGCATTTCAGCCAAGCCTACTTGGAAAGGAGTCGGGCGGTGTGCACGAGAACTGCTACAACTCGATCATGAGCTGCGATATCGACATTCGCAAGGACCTCTATGCCAATATTGTCCTTTCCGGTGGTACCACTATGTTTCCGGGTATCACTGATCGTATGAAGAAGGAAATTGCATCATTAGCTCCCAGGTACCTTTCTTAAGATTACCTCTGTTCCGAGGCGATCGAAGGCACAGTTCGTCCGAGCCGTGCATGTGGGCGGAGACAGTCAATGTGCCTTTTTGACTGGGGTGACCCTCTTCCTAGAACGAATGAAAAGGTTACAAAAGTTTAGGATAACAGGATGTACTCGGCCGCCCACAGCCGCTCTTGAAACACCCGGCTTACGGTATCCCTGACTGGGCGCTGTTTATCGACGGGTGGGGGGGGCATTCTGCTTTTCATAGATTTGCCAACCCATCTAGGTACCTTTTTTTCGAGTTGACACGTTTTAGGATGGTGGCTAGACGATCTTGCTCCAGCTTCACAAGCGTTCACAAGTTTTACCAGAGTGAGATTTGTAAACCGGAACCAGGGAAGCAATTATAATACAAAATGCCCCCCCGTCGATAAACAGCGCCCCGTGATTGTGACGCGCAGTTTTGGAGTACTGTATACACCCTTTGTTCTAAACTTATAGTCTTGTTCTAGACAGAGGGGAGACGGACAATACAATCGTAGTTTGTCGCTTCGCCGCGCGTGGCATGTCGTGCGGCGATGCGCGGCGAACCCACTGGAGCAGCGAAACTCACATCAACTCATGGGGAGACGGGACTCTAGATGAGCTATATCAAAGTTTTACCGTCCCATTGGCCTTCAATTGTAATGGACAGGAAGGACTTGTCTGACGCTCGTTACGCCCTCCCCCAGCCTATTGCGATTGTCTTGTCACATACCCGAGGGAGAGCGCATCAATGAGGAAGGCATAATGGTAAACTGTACTGTCTCCACCCATGCGATCAGTGCGGAATTTGCCTCCAAGAAGAAGTGAGCCAAATTTTCAGTCATTGGAACTTTTTCAGCACGATGAGAATTAAAATCATGGCGCCACCGGAGCGAAAGTACTCGGTATGGATCGGCGGCTCAGTGTTAGCGTCGTTGTCGACCTTCCACTCGATGTGGATCACGAAATCCGAATACGATGAATATGGAGACGTAATCGTTCATCGCAAATGCTTCTAAATTGCTTGTCATGAAAGCATTGCAGTCAACCATCTGACTCATACGACTAATCAATTCATTGTCGTGTTTCAATAAACAATTGAAACAATGTGCATTGATTTTTTTCCATCGGACAACGACTTTCAGTAGGTTATCAGCAAAGATGAGGGAAAAGAATGAGCAAGAACAGTGCATTTCAGGACGCTAGCTCTCGTAGTGATTAGAAATACTGCTATCCCTGAAAACTACGTGAGGCCGTTCGGAAATAGAGTCCACGGTGATTGCATAGGCGGAGTTGGCTAGCTGGCATTGTGGGTTCCTCATTGGTTCTCTTTCATATTTTGGAAAGATGAGCCCACCAATGAGGAGGGAATAACGGAACCTGATTCCTCCGCATATTAGCGTGGACTGTCCGCTTACAGCACCTGCTAAAATACCCAGACGTCCCTAAGGGGACTCTGGAATACGGTGAGAGGAGGCTACTTGGTACGACTCTCGACAGACAAGGAATGTACATGGCATAGAAGTGAGTGCCATCTACGAAATGTGTTCCATGTCC